TGGATTCCTCCACCGCCGTCTCTCTTCCCTATTGATGCTGCAGAAAACTTGCTGTAAAGCTTAACTACTCCTGTCGCTATTTCTCATTCTACTGCTGTTGTTGAAACCTTGATGTCAAGTTTAGCTCTCTCAACCGCCATTTTTCTTTCATTCTTTAATTAATGGTTCCGATATGGTATGTATATCTAAAAAACATAAAACGAATGTCGAGCAATTCTTGTGGGATTAAATAAAAATACTAGATCAACAAGAACACTGGATAAAAAATATTTGAAGGAACAAACGCGTGAGCTTGGCTCTGATAGGATAGATATAACATCCTGAAATCTTGAAAACTAATTGCTACGGGTAAGTGGGAGCCAATTAATTGTGTCGCAGAAAAGCCAAACAAAATGAGTGAAGTCTAAAGCATGTAAACTTGTCTGAAAAAGGAAAAAAAAAAGCAGAAATTTTATTTTAAATCTCATTATGTATGTTCCAAACATTGAAAAATCGCTGAGTAACAATAATTTTTATTGGTGGAAATGTGTGAAAAGTTTCAAATGCGGAATTTGAACTGAAAGCCATGAAGTTTGAAGTTCTTTTTTTCTCAGAGCTGGCAAAATGAAGAAAATCCCCGAAAAGTGCAAGCAATCTGATTCAACATCAAAGCAAGTTAACGACACGATTTCAATCAATACATGAAAATTAAATAAATATCTAAGATATTGTTCTGTGTTATTTTCTTTAATGACAACATTTGAGCAAATTGCATCGTACGCACCCACCTTACTCTGAAAGGGCTAGGACTAAAACGCTTTTTCTTGTTTTGCAATTAAAGATTCCTTCTTGAAGAGATACTTTTAATGAATATCATCTTTCTGCTTCTGGCAATTGTGGACACTGACAATGAGTCAAATTCATGAATGCTGATAGAAAAGAAAAAAAGGAACAAAGTAAGGAATAATTAATATTTTCTAAATTAGCAATTAACATGTGATCTGACTTTACTAAGGGAGGCAACTCAATTGAATTCTCTCTACATTCGCCACACGCTATGTTCCTTCTGTTCTTGTCATTTACACATTAATGATTTGAAGTGAGTTTGTAATTGAAAAGAAGCGTAAAAGGGGAAAACTAAAAGAAGGAAAATTAGCTACACTTTAGATAATGTTACAGTGCATAAAAGCTTTTATTCAGAATTTATGCATTTGCACGTTTCATGCAAGATGTGGTTATCACTGGAGATTGAATGACAGCAAATTTCCTCGCATATATACGTCATTATTATTATTATTGTTGTTGTTTTTGTTGGGAGAGAAAGCATCACGCCAATAGAGTGATGCAAGGACATAAATATACGAAGTCCAATGTACCCATTATGACACCTGGTTCGATAAAAGTATATCAGACACATGCATAACAGCTAATTGTGTGCGATATGATAGCCGCTTTTGATAAAAGTCGGCACCACCTTGCAGGTGTGGCTCATAGCGAAATAACATCAAGTCGAATAACTCAGTCCACTCAAACGGCCTCCGATTGCAGGGTGTTTCCAAGTATCTAGTTCAAAACTGAAACCCTCTCGACACCTGATCATGAGCCACTCCAACCACATGTGAACATAGATATACAGTGTATCAGCCCTCAGGGGACATGCTTAATTTATTAATGTCAGGCAAGAGACAAGAAGAACTTGTATCTGTTACTGAACGTGATACTTACTGGAGACCATCTTAATTCACAAAGACAACACTTGTACATATTATCTCTGATTATTATTATTATTATTATTATTATTATTATTATTTGTGTCTGTTATATTTCTTGTTTTGTAAACTGTAGAGCCGGTTCCAAACTATGGTTCTTAGTCCCTATAGAATAATTGTCATTTAATTGCTAGCACTTCTCTTAGTATATAGGATGTTCCTAGTAGGGCGAACTTCTGGGAAAATTTTATTTTGATGTTACCTGGGACACTGTTAGTAAAGATTTTCTATTCCTTTTCTCACGAGTCCCAGAGCTCCGATTACTATTGGTACTTTCTCAGTCTTCAAGTCTCACCTTCTGTTAATCTCGATCTCCAGGTCCTTCTATTTGGACAATTTCTCAATAATTTTCATGGGGGTGTTTTTCTGAGATGGTACTGCTATGTTAATAAGCATACACTTCCTGAATTTCTTGTCTTTTATGATAATATCAGGTCTGTTGGCTTTCATTTACCTGTCAGTTTGAATTGGCATGCCCCAGATGATAGTTACATCGTTATGTTGGGTAACTGTGTCTGGTTGTTGCTCATACCATCTCTCAGTGGTTTCGATTTTGTGCTTCTTGCATATCTTCCAGTGCATATATGTCGTTATCTTGTTATGTCTGTGGGTATATTCATTTTTTGCTAGTTCCGGTCATCTTGAGATATTATGGTCGACATTTTAATTTTCCGCAGATCCTACATTTCGGGTTAGTTCCATCCTTGATTATGAGAGGATATGGTTGCACGGCGTTGGTTTCAGCTTTCAACCCGGTGCTCCTCAGTCACTGATGTATTTTCTGTTGGTCTCCTTTCGTTCTTTTTAGATATTTGCCATGCAACGCCTTGTCAATCCTGTTTTGGGGGTTTTTTTGGGGGTTTTTTTGTAGCTTCATTTAGCCAAGTTGTTTAGCTTTGTTTTACTCGTTTGGCGCCGATGGTATTCCCTTTGTTTTTTGCTGGTAGAAATTCAAGTATATTAAGATGTTTTTGGAGAGTGCAGCTTCTTTGTTGAGGGAGTGGATTTGGTCTTTTACTATTTGTGAGAAGGCGGGGTCATTGGTTTTTGTGAGGTATGCTTCCAATCCGATTGTTGTAATTTTAGAGTTAATTCAAGTTGTATTAGACCTTGGCCTTCTAAAGCTCTTGGTACGTACAGCCTATCAACAACTGATTTCGGGTGGTGCATTCTCATTTGGGTAAGCATTTTTCTGGTTTTGGCGTCCAATATTTTAATGTCAATCAACTTCCATTTATGAATGTTGCAACTGTATGTTACTAAGGGGAAAATCTAAGGTTTTGATAGCCTTCATTTTATTGGTTCCATTAAGTTTGCTTTCTAGTATCAAACACACTCTCTTAAAATATTCTTTAAGGATCTTGTTGTTCAGGATTGAATGTTGTATTATTATTATTATTATTTCCCAAATAGAGACCTAAGGTCAGAAATGACTTCATGACATTTTCCAGTGGTTATTTTTCTAAAAACAAAACAAAAAAAAAGCAAGCTAAGAACACACACACACACACACACACACACACACACACACACACACACACACACATTTTTACATAGATAAAGCTCTTTGCAATGTGTGCGCTGTACTTGTGAGTACAATCTTTTGTATTTCTTTAAGGCATGGGCTACAAGGAATCCTTTCAATGAGTCTATCGGAAGCTTCTCCAATCAATCTAACTACAACTGGAATTATTGATGCACTCATGTGCTAGGCACATTTTTGAGATTTCCACTTCAAGATCCTTGTATTTTGATAGCTTTTTTAAATATCGTCAAAGATACGTTACGCTCTGCAGGGACTGCCATGTCAATAAGAAATCACATTCTGTTTTTTGCTCTTTGATATCATTGTTTTGTCGATTAGCTACGATTGTTTTGTCTGTGTGTATTGCAAATTCCCATAAAATTGTTACAGGTTCTATCTCTATAACCGGATCTGGGTGATGTTCACACCAATTACTTGTAGTTTCCTTCCCGAAAATGTTGCATATTTTCCAGTGTAGATATTCGCCCACTCTATCATGCCGAGTTTTATATCCAGTGGGTGTGTTGTATCCACCCACGGCTCCAGACATCAGCAGCAGTTTCAGTTAGCCATAATCATCTCCAGCTCGCCATCGGCCACGGCGCCAGCTATCTCCAGTGTGCCTCCAGCTTCCGCCGCTCCAGTCAACTTCAGCTACAGCCATCTAGCAGCAACGATATGCAATAACCTCTCCTTTCACGACAACACTTTTTCGCGACCACAATACTGTCTTTTTCAGGACAACTCTCTTCACAGACCACAAAACAATCCTTTTCAGGACAACGTTCTCCAGCTACTACAAAACTGCCATTTCAGGACAACGTTCTTCTCATCCTGTACATAAGCAAGCCGAGATATTTTGCCCAGTGCACTGTAACCTTATTTTTGTTGATTTATTTTCTTTAACTTTCTTTATGCTTTGGTATTTATTTTCCACTTAATTATATTGTGCTGTTCAAGCAGCAGAACCCTGGAGTAATGATGTCCAAGTCGGACGATCAAATCAGATTCACTTGTGAAACTTTTATGTCTTTCTGGCTTTTCTCTCCAATGAGACCACCATGAGTAAGGATTAATGTCAAAAGCTGGATTAGTCTAAAAATAATTGACAGTATCTTTTTACTTGAGACGAATGTCTAATGGAAATGTGTTATTAAAGCAGTAATACAATTTCCATTCCGTCTGTAAGTCTTTCAATTTTTCTTTATTGCTGTTTGAATCATTATCTTTCTATATTATTAAGCATTAACTATAGGTGGTAAAAGTGTTTTCATATAAGTAATACTATTTTGTTTATTTCTTGTTAGTAGAAAACGAAATCCTTTCGCCTCATCCGCGTTGATTTATACCGTTCTTTTTATTTAAGTACCATTGTGTCTCCAATTTCATAAGATCTTCTCTGCCTCATTTCTCACTGCTGCTATTCGCACCATCTCTTTTGTTGTTCCCTATTCCACAATCTTCGTCCCATTATTTAGAAGCATTTCTTATTCAAATATAAACTTCCTGAATCTTGTTTAATTCGTTTTATAGTGAAGCAATTATTGTCTGAATATTGCTTGGGATTGAATCATGACGGAAACGATGTTTCTACGTTGGGAAACGTTACGTCATGTAGTTGTTCGGGTACAAACTAGCTTCGATTGGCCAAACAAGTTCTGAAATGAAAAAGAAAAGAAAGAGTCATATTGCTTTTTTTATACAGCAAATTATTGAATTAAATATTTTCAGTAGATATTTTCCGACAATAGACATAGATAGATAGAAAGATAGATAGATAATGAAGATAGATAGATAGATAGATAGATAGATAGATAGATAGATAGATAGATAACGAACATAGATAGATGAATATGTATGAAGTGACTTAATATACTGTGTTGTAATAATAATAATAATAATAATAATAATAAAATAATAATAATAATAATAATAATAATATCCCATAATCTTCATGTTTAATTTAAATTCAAATGGACCACTCTATTCAGGCCAGAAGACTGGGTTTACTCATCGTTAACAAGGAAAGAATATTTCGCTCTTCTAGGATGCCATAAATTAACATTTTGGAAGTACTTGTTTGAGAAGCGAAATAAATTGCAGAACGAAAACCCTGACAATTATATCATAATTCTTGGTGAGTTCTAAACGGCAATTCAGCCGAGTAAAGAGATTAGAAAAAGAGGAAACCATTTCAAGAATCAAAATTATTTTTAAAGCATAGAATTACTAACATCAGTCTAAATAATAGAGATTATGCTGGATTATTGAAGAGATTTGCTGTTGCTGGACCTCCAGGAAAACCACTAATTACAACCGATGTGAAAACTTTGAATAGAAATAATGTTAAAAATTCCCGACTCGTCATAATATTAACTCTATTTAAATTGATCACAAATTAATTGAATGTATATTTACATTATTGAAACATCTTTCATGTACTCATCCTAATGAATGTTGAATAGCGCACGATATGCTCGCCCGTTCTGGCAGAGCAAAGCAAACCACTTTTTTCTGTCAGATTTCAATGCAGAGAAAAAGAACCGATTCCATGTAGCATTTCTATTTATTGTTTTCATCGTTTTTTTTTTTATGTTTATTAACTCTAATTATTAAAAAATATCTGGTAGAAAGAAAAATGTTTACAAGCGTAATCTCCATTCTAACTCGTCGTGTCAACAAAGAAATGCTGTCATACAAATAAAGGAATAAGAAAGAATTAAGCAAAGGAATAAGTATAATTTCTCTCTCAAGTAGAAATAATCTTATGCAAAGTTGGACAAATGAAACTAAAATGTATAATCATGCAGTCAATATAAGTGGCTCAATTTTTTTTCAAACGACTATTTTGTTTAATTTTACCGTATTATAAATGCAAAGTATAAACAGGTCGTTATCTGATAGCTGAAGCCAACTTTCCATTGGCCAACCAACTGACATTTTTTCTACAAGGCGCACTTAATTTGTTGAGTCAAACAAGATAATCTTAATTGAAAGACAAAAAAGGATCTGGGCATTTTAAACGAGTCCATTAACTTTATTTCATTAAAATTAAATTTTCGAACAATCTCTTTAAACCGGATAAAGACATTCAATTTTGATCATCGATTTAATTTCACTTATTCTGACAGTTTCATTCGCTCTTGGCTCTTATTCTGCTAATTGTAAAGAAAGGCTCTGATATGGCTAAGGCATTTTTTATTAAAGGATTTCCAACAAAGCAGCAAATGAGTGGAAATGATTCACTTACAAAGGAGAAAATAGGCTAGCATACGAATTTCTTTTCATAAAGAGATAAAACTTTGGTGTATTTCGAATGGCTAAGCATTTGAACATTATCTGAAATTAAACATTTAAAGGATTGACTTTTTAATTACGAATTGAAACGAACAAAAATTCTTTCATGAAATACACAACTAAAGGTGTTTCATTGTAATTAAATGTCCGATTGATAAGTTTCAAAATACAACAAAATTAGAAGGTTTCGTAAGTTTTAGAGTAAATGTAGTAATATAGAAACCAATTTATTTTTTGGTCATACAAGAAAAAATGAAGTGGACATTACAGTAACTATTGTAATGCAAATCGAACGAAAAGTTGTGGAAATGACTCGTAAAACTTAAGGACGAAATTGCTTTGGAAGGAGAAAGAAAAAAGAAAAATATATATAAATAATTCTGACAATAAAGTGCGTATCAGAAAACACAGAAAATAAATGAAGTGATATGGAACTCCATATGATTAGATATTTAAGATACATATTAGTGGATCATCCGATTTAGCATCGAACTTACTGCTTTAGCAATAATCTGTGAAAATAAAATGATATATCCCTTTGAAATGAGCCCTGTAGATTATTTCTAATCATAAAATGACATCGGGCAATATTAGTAAATGACCTGGTGGGTAACGATCTCACTACTCCAGCAATATTCTGCAAAATTAGCGTTCTCACTATCGCTCCACACACACAAACACACACACACACACACACACACATATATATATATATATATATATATATGGAAACTGCGGTCAAGACCGAGCCGCAACAGTCTCTAACATGCATGCTTGAACGCAATCTTCAGGCCATGTGTGTTGCGTTTTTGTATATGCTGGACAATGGTGCATTATGGCTAGCAAGTTATATTGTATTATCCCAATGTTTATTGAATAGGCAGTAACGGTTATGTTTCAAATTATTCTACAGGTTATTCAGTAAGAATAATTATGGATCCGAATATGTAACTTTTTTATAGTGTAGCTTGTTAACTTTTTCCTCATTATTTATTATTTATTACTTAATTATGTGTTTATTATTATTATTGCATTTACTTGTGTTTATGTGTGCAGTCAGCATTTTGATATTTACGTATGCTCTATCGCTAATATCAAGAACTTTTACCCATAAATATAAGCATAAAATAAAACTATATTTGTTGTTTCCCTGTGTTATTTCACTCCCATCTTCAACAGGAGATCCGAAATCGGCGATAGTAATGATGACTGTTGTGAAAATAGTTATCAGAAAATTATGTTTTTTGGGAGAAGAAAAAAACTCGTGGCGTTTGTTTTGCTTTTCTTTTCTACGGGAAGATGATACAACATAAAATGAACGTACCATTTTTATTACGACCAAAACATACCAATCAAATAGATAAAGAGAAGATGTTCTCTGTTGAGTTATCGCTACTATACCAAAAAGAATAAATTATTGTCCCTAATGTGTTACGAAATCGCCGGTGTTCCAGCGTCGGGTCTATTTCTGTTTTTTTTTTTCTGATTCTTGCACTTTTTGTCACTCCTAATCACTAAAAATAGAGAGATAAAATCATCGCATCTCGTTAATTTCTTTTTTATTGGCATTCTGTCAAGTGTGCGCGTTAAGTGGAGCTCACAACTTATGCAACCGTCTATTCAAAAGACTTTCAAAAAGACAAAAAAGAACATATCGTGCGAGAAGCCATTTATCTGTTCAGCACTCAACACCCATTTTCAAACTCCACCCGTCCGCTCGACCTATATGTGACAGTGACCAATAGCTATTGAGGACTTACTTTAACAAATAAACCCACTTGATTCCCGAAAATTACTGTATTTCGAAGAATTACTATGAAACGGATATTACGTGTGAGTCTAAAATGGTGCAATGTTTAGTCAGCTAGTCTTGTAGGCATTCCATTATAGTGGCCTTACATTAGGGTTGTGTCAAATTTTTTTTATGGAGTCCGTGTCATTGTTGTCCTTGTGTAAAGTGGGCCGCAATAACAACACGAGTTTCACAGCGACGATATAAATAACAATTATATATACATGTGTTGCTTGTACATTTATTTGCTTGTAGCGTTTTGTGATCAGGTTCCATAAACATATGAGGAATTAATTTAATATTTAATATATATATTAATGAGATTTGTACATCTGAGAGAAAAGGATTTGCAATAAGAAATTCTCGATAAATCTTCTGAGACATTTATAGCAAAGCGCCGAAATGGCATCCTATGTACATACATCCACCTAGATCCCTAAGTCCCATAGACACCTAGTGTCAGTTTATACTGTTCCGATGATTGAGAACTGATAATGGAAAAGTACGGGACGTCACGATCCACTTAGCTGTGGTAATACATAACAGAATATGTTAGTTTAAGAGAATTTGACTTTCCTGATTATTAGTGTTCGCTGTTAAATGTAAATGATTTACAACTTTTTTGTTTTTATTGCTACTTTGACTAGATTGCTATTTTATGTAAGATGTAACCAAAAATACCAAAATCAATGAATGGATGTTTAAAAAGATAATGTTTCTTGAGCTCCTACAGGCTGCATAATACCACCAGAGCCTCCCCCACTTGCACTAGACGAAAGCGGATATTATACATAAGTAAAAATAAACATGAATTTTCTTGTATATTTTGTTCTTTGAGAAACATTTGCAAATATACTGTTAAAAATGTGTAAAGAAACTTTTGTTAGAGAAGCTTATGTCAAGTTATCTTTTGCGTTGTCTTAAATATGCAATCATTGAATATTTCGCTGATCTTTACAGACGAGATTTTTTCAATCACAATTGAGCCAGTTGTTCCTATATCAATATTATTCGAAAAACAGAGTTTATACATATATATCCATGCCGTCAAAATATCTAAATAGTCTTGCACTTGCATTATATATAATATATACATCATATAAATACATGATGCTTTATAGATAATATTAAAATACTAGGCACTTCAACGAAGTATAAAGTTTAATAAGTTTGTCTCGCTGGATCCATTAAAACGGAGTAATGAGTTCGATCCTTACTGGATGCTTCATGATTGCTTGCCTTCTGACGCATTTAACCTACACTTGAGAAATCTCTATAATATCAAGAACTGTATATTGTTCAGCATTTTCATATTTACATTCAATTCTTCTTGAATATTAAATTTAACCGCTAACGTTTAATTCCCCTTTGAATATTTAAGGTGTGCTGTTTAATATAACATAAACATCTATTCCTACCAAAGCACCAAAACAGTTCACTATACAAAGATAGGCGACTACGTCCATTATATATAATTAGATAATTCACTCTTATGCATTAGACTTTTCAGGAGACGTAAAAATGTATTACACACACACACACACACACACACACACACGTGCACACATGTTCACGTGGATACACTCTATTTATAATGAAATCGAATGAAAAGTATATGACATCTTAGCAAAAGTTAACTTGACATATCTCGCCAGTAGTCAGGCTTCATAAGAAAAATAATTTTATTTAAAAAATCAAAATCTACTTTAACAATATAAAACTTGATTTTTTAAGCGTCTAAACGCTTAATTTCTAAATTTTACATGAAAATAAATTTTAAATGAAACGAAATCTTAAATGATTTCAGTCAGTTTTTACGGTTTAAATAATACACATAGTTTAAATACTAATGCAATAAGAAATGTGGGTATATTGAAATTATAAAAAATTATGTGAAAATTTCATATCCTCTGTCACTTACCGCAACCTTAAGCGAAGAAATTATCAAACAATGAAGTGATTGGACGGAACTTTTGTTTAATAAGCTGCGTTTCTAAGCTTTATTATGGCGATGCTGTCTGGATGAAGATAATAAAAAATGTATATTCTGAGAAAAAAGGAGTGAGAAGAGAACTCTTCATCTTTTAGTTATTTTCAACCTATCAGAGGAAAGGAATTTGAAACCTGCGACAATTTTGAAAGACTGATAAAATACAAGAGAAGCAGCCATCTAGTTTAATTACTATTCATGCCGACACGACTCTTGATTGGATAGTCAGGAGAGATTTAAGTGATCAGATCAAGTTACCTTCAGTAGGGAAGAAAATTCCAAACCCCGAGATACCTCGTGACCAACCAACGACAACTTAAAACATGCAAAATTAATCCAGGCAATGAAACAAACCCACCTAATTTTCTCCGGTGATGCAAAGCAACTCGCACACTGCTACCATAATTCTTCAAACAAGACTCTACCAAGTTTATCATAAAAGACTTTCATTTAGTACACTCCTTCCATTCAACTACGAGCACTTCCGCTACTACACTGACATTGAACGAATCAGAAATTTAACAAGACTTCATGAAGTTCACTCTCCCTATAGAAAGGCATTATCTTCAACTTTAGCAACTAATGTAAGGCGCTCCCACTTTCTTATGAACATTCTTCTCTCTTTAGCTAAATTTTTATTTGGCACTCAATAAAAATAATTTGAGCAAACCTTTACATACTTTTCTTCTTTCAGTTAAATTATTGTAACTAAACAAATTACTTCTGTTTAAATTTCACAGTAAGGGACCTTATCAATGGTCCGCCTAAAGAGATAATATGGAGTTACCTCATTTACTTTCTTAAAAAATCCAACACTAGTGGACGATCCCTAAGCCTATAAATAAACAGTGACATTCTCTGTCATCCTCTTTCTCCTATTTCACCCAGGGACGTTAAGATGTTGGTCGAATGCGAAGGAAAGCGCGCACGTGCACCAGCAACTTACCCTTTACTTTCTTCAATGTAACACCTTTCACTCGGGTTTCTTCTACACATATTCTATAGACACACGAACACATTCTTTAGATGTTTTCTGCATTCATGTTCATTGTTCGGTAACACAAAACAATATTTTATTGTCTATATATACCTTTGTTTCGTTAATACATACGTTATCGTTTGTATATACATCATTTCATTAGTCGGACTCACATTCCTAGTCTGTTATTTTTGTGGTGGGATAAATATACCAGGAGACACGTGTTTTCCACCTAAACACTCGACCAGCATAGACCCGCAACAATAACTAATTGGTATTTACAATAGTATAGATTGTGTTAAATTTAAGTCCCGTTGATGTTTATATAGACTTTTCTTTGAAAGTAGGTGTGTTAGCGAAAATACTAATCGTTCAAATGAATTATTAATCACATTTGTTAATAAAAGCTGATTAAAAGTTGTCATGTTTTTTACTCTTTTGAAGCAAATGTAATTTGACTGGATTTTAATCTAACATATTGCCGTCAAACTAATATAAGAGTTTCTCAACGGCTTTGGCCCATATGATAGGGCACGATGTCAAATGTCCCGGTTGCATTCACTAACGTTATGCTGAAACAAGAGCTGAAATATTAGGCTTTGCTTGAATCATAAACGAACGGATAATTTAAAGGTTAATAGACTGACCCTTTTTTTTTTTTTTTTTTTGAGAGACGTCCATCACCGATCGACCGTTCGAATCTTGTCGATTTGATATGATAAAATTCATTTATTTTTATTTTTTTAGCAGCTCGGTGGTCGTCCAGCCATCTGTCCACAATTATTTCTGTGACATTAGTTGAAGATTTCGCTCCTTTTTTCGTGTGGTGTGTGGACCTGTCGCTTTTTGATGAAAACGAAATTTTATTCATGACTGTAATTTATCTGCTTGACTTACATTCCCCAGACGAAGTGGATTTTTATTCCTTCAAACTGAACGCTTGTCAGAGGCACATATCGATTCTGTGGAATGTGGCCAATGTGCGCATTTGACGCCGACTCTAAAATGTCACAGCACTGAGATTAAAATCATAAAGCTAATTCGGAGAAGAAACACATTTTATTTCCTCAGCATCATCAATCACATATATATATATATATATGTACGTGTGTGTATGTATGTATGTATAATGTGATTCTGTGTGTGTGTGTAAATAATATTATATATAGCAGTATAGCAGTTATAAAATGAATGACAAGAGGGAAAATTACTCTGTGAAGCTTTTCGTTCCGAAAAGGATTACCTTTAGAAAAACTATCAGCTGAAGAAGTTTCTTCTTGGAAGGAAAAGTATTGCTGTATAGTTTTTTGTCTTGTCATTCATTTGCTCTCTAAAACACATACGCACACACAAATTCACACACACACACACACACACACACACACACATATATATATATATATATATTCCGTTGTGTATTCCCTCTCTATTTTTTAACCGTCGCTTTAGAACAATAGCGATTATATAATCGACACAAGAAGAGAGTAAAATGAAAGAGGAGTCGGACTAATATCAGATAAATATAGGAGGAGGTGCGCTTTATTCTACTGATGAAACGGAAAGGGAAGCCATTTAATATTGCTACCATATTCATATATTCACCGAAATAAAAATAAAAAAATAACGCATAAGAGATATGTAACTTTTACAACACAGTAGAAAATACCAAAAACAAAACAAGTTACAAAAATTATCATTATCGTAGGGAACTGGGACCTAAATGCAAAAGTAGGGATCTTGTGAAGGTAACTGTTAAGTATAGACTTGGATCATGTAACAAACGCGGGTAAATGGATTCATTAATGTACAATAAATGTCCAAGTAACAATAACTAATACTTGGTTTAATAGAACTTCCAAGAGGCTTGCAGATTATTTTTTTTTTAAAAAAGCCCGGTTGGAGACATTACAAACTAGATAGACGACTGACTGAATTTCTGGGATGAGAAGTTACATTATTATTTACACTATTTACATACAGACAATTGTCCTCATCATTTCTGTTGTTATCACAAATTTTCGACTGTTGTGATCTTCATCCGGTTAATCTACAGGGAATTCCGTACTGGACCGTTTATTTAATCTACAAGAGCAGACTGTTCTTGTTGCTGTGTCCATGTCTAAGAATATCTAGTCTAGCTCTTATTTCAGAACTGCTCAGTTATTGATCGCCCTTCTCCACAGATAGACGACATAAGCATCAATAAAATCTGTTTTTTCTAGAGCATACCCAAGTTCTAACTACGAGGGTGGTCACTTTCCAGTCAACTAAGGGCAAAACACAGAAATTGAAGAGCCCCAAATCACTACATAAACTGCAATATGACAATCCCAAAAGTGATTCGATTTGCAAACACACATATGCAATAACAGTAAAGAATAACTACGAAAGTCTAGAAAAGTCGAAGGCTCAAAGTAGAACATCTTAAAAAAAAAAGAAAAAAGAGACTTGCAGTGGCCAATGAATTAAGTAATTAGTGTTGTGAGGTATTACTTTGGGATGCGGGGTCAAGAGAAAATAATTGTCGATTAAATCTGAATAGATAGTGAAGAAATTGCCAATCCCCGCAATAAAAAAAAAATAAGTGGATAATTTAATAAAACGCATTAAACAATTCCAAACTCAATAAATTCCTGGATTCTTTCGGCAATGTCATTAAAATCTATCCGGATTGGCGGTTGGATAGTGTCAAAATGATACCCTATCTATTTTGGAAGAAAGGACTTTTTAATTTAGAATATTTATTTTTATGCTTATCAATCAATCAGAATCTGTTTTGTTTGGTAAAAGTTGAACTTACAACATGCGATAATTTGCCCATGGATAGTATGAAAAGTGTTAAAGTGTTTCACAGTCTCACAAATTTTGTCATTTCAAAATAATCTGTTTTTGATTTGAGCATCTCGTTGTTGGATAGGGATAAATCCAAAAATGTTTGACGTTTTCGTAAAAAATGAAACTAAATTAATTCAATATATATACCGTTTGCTAGCGCTTTTACTCTAGTTTCCAAAGATGTGTAGTTTGTTATATGATAAGTGATTTCAATTTCAACTCATACATTTGTTTTCCATGCCAACTTTTCTAACTTTCTGTTATAAGTGGGTATAGACATATAACTGGTATATTTCTAGTTTCTGTAATAATTTGTTAAAAAGAATGAATGTTATAGACCCCTACTCACCTACTGTTATATTATACTAAAATAGTTTTGATTTTTTCCCCGAAATCCATGAATTTTCATCACTGTCAAAAAGAAAAAAGTCGACTGTCAGAATTTGTAAATTACTAGTTCGCTACGCGTCGCTTCTCAAAATGAACAAATTTCAGTTCTTTGCCTATTCAAAATGCTATATGTATATTAGAAAATCTATTCAGTTTAATACAGGAGGAGTCATAAAAATGCCGGTTATACTCTTTTCCTGTTACCATGAGATTGTTGCCAGACAGAAAGGGACAATATCCCTCTTGATGTCCATTTCAATTTTATTTAAGTTGTATATGTATGCATTTTTGTTTCCAGCTTTGTGATTTTATTGCTCGGCTCAGGGTAGGGGGAGACTGGGGAAAGTATTGTTCCAAAGTTTTATTTCAAATTCAAATTCAGTCAAATTGTATGCATGTACGGGTGTGCGTGTGTGCGTGTTCATGTTCATTACAATCACATATATGTCGCTGATGCACTGCACAGACATACACATATACAAACATTACATACGCGCATGCAAAATCCTACGCATTGTGTGACGGACAGAGAATAAGCATCTTTTATAATGTAGATTTCCTGCCAATCAATGTGGTTAAACGGAAGGCTGTCAGAAAAAGAACATTTCCATTTATAGTTGTCAAGAGGAGTAATGTATAAAATACAAATTAATTTTACGCCACAAACCTAGTGTGACATTCCAGACAAAATGTCACATGCCAAAGATAAATTATTTTTTTTTAAGTGTTTCACCCCAAGCAAGGCGGAAAGCCACGAGCACGCAAGGGGTTACAGAGAGTTGGAGCTAGAGCAAATAGGAGTGATAGAGGAAAGGATCAAGAGGAGGATAGGGAATAGATCAGGGCATCTGGCGACGTCGATTGACATTATATTTGAATAGTTGGAGATTATAGCTATCAGGAAAACAAGAAGAAGGGAGGGAGTTCCACAGGCGAGCGGTGCGAGACATGAAACTATTGGAGTAAAAGAGACGGCTACATTTAACAGTTTCGACAGTGAAAGGGTGTGAGCGAGATGCCAACATAGAACGCTTAAATTCATGAAGTCTGGGAACCAGCGAAAGCAGCTCCTCAAAGCAGTTACCATGAAAGTATTTGTAAAAAAAGACCGAGGGAGGCGACGGTACGTTTGTAAGAGAGCGACTGTAGACGAGATGCCAGATCAGGGCCAATTACGTTGCATATCCGTCTCTGGATCTTATCAAGAACCTTGAGACAAACATAAGGGGCACCAGACCATATATGACAGCAATACTCCATGCAAGGGCGAATGGTTGATTTGTAGGATTGACTCCGGCGAGACAAATTTCTTGGCACGGCACAGGGAGCCAATTTTCCTTGCGGTGGACGAAGCTATTGACTCAATATATTTGTTCCATCTCAGGTCAGCAGTCAATGTGAGGCCGAGTAGTCGCAAAGAAGAGCTCTCGAGAAGTTGAGCGTCACACATTCTAATGAGGGACATAGATGGTTCTCTGTGGGGAGTAATAGAGAATAGTTTTGTTTTTGAGGCGTTAAAGTTAACCAGCCCCAGTTCACAACCGATCGGAGGTCCTTTTCGAGACGAACGGCCAGGTTAGTTTTGTCAACGACACTAGATTTGTTTTTGAGACAGGAGTAAATTGTAGTGTCGTCAACGTAGATGCCTACTTGGGAATCTATGACGTCAGGAAGATCGTTGATTACGATAAGGGATAGAGTAGGGCCTAGGATGGAGCCTTGGGAAACACATGCGTTCGTGGGATAGGAGCTGGAGGAGAATCCGTTGAGAACGACTTTCAATACACGGTTTGACAGGAATGATTATATTGTCAAACAATCAACCTGAAATTCCACAACCCTGAAGCTTGCGAAGAAGGCCGGCATGCCAAACCCTATCAAACGCTTTGGAGATATCTATAGTCATGGCACGAGCTTCTCCGTTATTATGAAGAGCTTGCTAAACAATTTCAGTGATGGCCGTAAGCACATCAGCTGTAGAACGGGCAAAGCGGGAACCATATTGCTTGTCTGAGAGCAGATCATGGGATGTAAGGTGGTTAACCACTTCGGCGTTGATTAAAGCTTCGAAGACTTTGCCGAAGAGGGCTAGGAGACTGATAGGACGGTAATTAGAAGGGTCAGAAGGGTCACCAGAGTTCTTAAAGAGAGGAACAATGGATGAGGACTTCCAACAGGCTAGAAAACAAGATTCATTGAGGCAGTAGTTATATAATTTGGAGAGGGCAGGGGCCAGTTCAGGCGCACATTTCTTCAGGACAATGGTTGGTATCCCGTCTCCACCACTAGCCTTGTGGGGGTCTAATTTAGAGATGATGCCCAGAACTCATGACGGGGTTATGTGCAAGTCACTCAATTGAGCCTCAGTTCTAAGGGGGAAATCGGGTGTGGGTACACCTGAAGAGTCGAGCGTTGAATTGAATGAGAATTTCCGATGAAATGAATTTTTAAAAATGAAAACGTATTCTTGAAGCATTCTTTTTAGCTTTAATTGAAAGCTAAATGATTAGATTTACTATTTCCAGAAAGCAAAATACTCTGGTGTATTTCAGATGGAAATTATATTGATTAGAATATTTATATATCAGATGGCCATACGATAAAATATCTGGAACTTTACATTTCTAAAACAATAAGTAAAACAAGGGTTTTATTACTATATGCATTTTAGATAAAGAAATACAAGGTGATGAGGATGAAAGCCTCGCTTAACGTTTTTTTATTACATGCATGCATGGATCATGAAGTGGAGACATTGGGCAATTCGCATGACCATCTCCAGGTGATAATGTTCCTGTCCAAATGACATTATTCGAGGAGAGCGATATTCTGCAAATTTCCAACAGGTAAATTGAACAGTTGAAAAGTGACATTGTTCATATTGACAATTACCTCGAAAAATTTTTGTATAAAAACATTCTATCTTTAAAATAAGTGAAGTTCCAGATACAACCCAGGCATCTTTTTGCACTAAAAAGGTCATTTGCACAGAAACTTAACTCGGAATGACAAGGGATTTTTTAAAAATGAATTTAGTATCCCTCTTTCAAATATTTTTTAACTGTCTTAAAATATAACGTTGCAGATATTTTCCTGGTCCTTTTGAAATGATGCTACGTTTTACAATTTTAGGAGAAAATTTGGGTATCTAGTGGAAGTTTGTAAAATCATGACACTTAAGACATATTAAAACAACAATTTTTCAGTAACGTTCAGAGCTAGGACTACTTTCAATTCGTACGAATTTTTGCGAGATTTTGGTTATCGAATATTATATCAATAAAATCTCTCATTTGTAATTTCGTTTTCTGGTTTTGTTAAATTAGAAAGAAAAAACACTGTGAGAATACTTCAAGTCCAGAATTCCTACAAAATGGTTGTGCTTATAAAAATAAACGTTTATATTTTTGGAAATCTCACTTTATTCTCTTTCAATGAAAACGAAACCAGTTTTTCAAGGAGTTCAGCTGTAATCATTTAACTATCTTTTCTGTTTGCAAGTTGGAAAATTGAGGTTTTTAGACAGACCCGGTAATGATTAGCAAGCTAGTCTGGTTGATCCTTACTACTGAGTGATTAATTCGATAATCACTAGGTGCGTTAAACATGTAAACTTGTGATAAACTGAGCTTAGTAAAGAAAAACATTTGATTTGATTTAATTACTGTTTCTCCTATTATAAAATATTCGGTTTCGCCTTAAATTCCCTGATTATTAATTTTATCCTAGACAAGAGAAAAATTCTTATTTGAAACGCTAATTACTTTCATTTAATCCTTCATGATTCGTAATGAAACTTTTCCTTTTACCGTTCCTCTTCACCCAGAAAACATAACTGAAGTGATTCAGTTGATTAGAAGAAAAAGTTATAAATATTCTTTTAGTTCATAATAAACCATTGCACAGTACATGACCTTAAAAAAAACTTTATTTATCTAAAAGAGTCGTTAGTTAACCAGGAAGAGTCGACGGAGATGTATATTTACGAAAGTCGGCTTTCAAAGCTTAGAATGTAAATCAACTACAGGTCATAGATAGGAAAAATACATCGTTATCTCTATCAAAGCAAATCCACGATAGTTTTGCTTATGTGCAAAATCAGGGCCTTTTCGCCGTTATATATATATATATATATATATATATATATATATGGGATAACGTGCTCAATATCAGAGATATAGTGTATGTAAGTATAAAAGGCACATTCAAGTCAACACTCAGAGACGACAGACTGTTTCATGCTAAACGCAGTCATCAGGCCACACACACACACACATACATATACATACACACACACACACACACACACACACATATATATATATATATATATATATAGAGAGAGAGAGAGAGAGAATGTCATCTCATTTTAACAGACATATTTACCAAAATCACAAAAAAAATTACCAAAGTAAATTTATTCGATAAAATCGCCACTGGTTTCAACCACAGCCTCCAGACGACTTTTAAATCTCCTGCAACTCTTCTGGACGGTCTCCATTGGTGAAGTTGCCTTCAGTTCATCTTTGGTGTTCCAAGGAGTTTTGTTGGTCTCTCGCTAAAACTCGCCCCATGCATAATAAGGGATTTGCAGTATGGGCAGTTAGATGGCCAGATGTAAGGGGTAATGTGGTCGTAGAAATTGTCTGATAGTCATGACTGGGTTCTCCTGTTTGTGCGGCATGGTGCTGAGTCCTGTAGCCAGACATAAAGTCTTCCAACAACTACCCTCTTGACCCAGAGCAGTACGATCTCCTCAATCCACTTGATGTAGGCCTCCGTGTTGAATCTGAGGCCCCGTGGGAAGATGAATGGAGGCATAACGTCGCCATCACTAGTGATCACTCAAAACATCTCCGTAATCACGATTCGACTCATCCAACTCTTTCTGAATTTTTGCACTGTCCTAAGATTCTCACCAAAACACTGAAATGTTCGTATGGGATCTTCCGGCGCGAATTCCAAGCAGTACAGCTTGCTGTTTCCAAATTTCTGCCGGAAGGAATTGCGTCATGGTGCTCTTTTTCTCTCAGACAGTGTCCAACTGACCCTATTATATTGAGCAGTCAACAAAATCAAAAATAAACAAAGTTCATGCGCTAAATTAAAAATATAAAATGGTGACAATTTACTCAGCGCACCCTATATATATATATATAGAGAGAGAGAGAGATAGAGAGAGAGAGAAAGAGAAAGAAAGAAAGAAAGAAAGAAAGAAAGAGAGAGGCAGACAAACAGAGAGCGAGATTGATTGATTCATTTTCTACAACTTATCAAGCCTTTGCAGTTAATCTAAAGCCAGAACATATTTTTCGATTGTAAGGATGTTTTTTGACGTAATAATGGTTTAGTGATATGACTTACTAATTAACCGATAGCTAGGGGAGAAGAGGTAGATTCGTACATTTCTCAAGGATATTTGCAGTTAAGTGATTATAACGAACCCAACGGGAATTAGAACAATTCCGAGCCATTAAGCATTATACCACTCTCACTTAAAAGCTTACAACAACTGGTATTTCCGAACTCTTTTCCATCTATGTACTCGGCGTTGCTTAACTTCGTTGAGCGTACGGGAATCGGTGTTTGAACGTGATGTGGCTGTGCGCCTACAGAGAGGGAGAGATGATGAAAAAGAGAGAGATAGTCAATGTAGACATCGGAATCAACACTATATGGTGAATAGAGTTTATTCCTATCAATAATGTCTGCATCAATAAATGCTGTACCTCCGATATTGAGCCCTCTTCCCTAATATGTATACCACGTTTTAACAATAGCCATATGCCTGTGTGTTTTGAGAAAAGTTGGATGAGTGGTTGGCCAATTTACAAATTTAAATTTGACCTGAGATAACCGTACAAAATACCTATATTGGCCAAAGAATCGTATATAAAGCTCTTATTGTAAAGCTTGGCTCGCAAGAAATCCAGAACAGGTGTTATATTTCCTTGAAGAGTGACCTGAAAATTTGGATGACGAATAATGTTGCATAAAATAATTAGTGCATCTCTTACAGAGAAACTCACTTCGAGTGCTTCCGTATAGTTTGACGTATCTTGTAGTTCTGTTTTCAAATTGGTTTACTTTTTTTATTGGATTTCGTTTGATGAAACAAACATTTATAATACAGCATTTGTTTCATCATTTTTATAATGGCACCATTTCACATCAGGAGAGAATTTTTGTAAAGAAGCAGTTGAGTAACAACTGAATACGTAATCTGTGCAGATCGATACCTTAATATATTTAGCTAAGTGTTTCCCTGTTAAACTCACTCATTTTGCTGTCCTTTTACTTTCTCTCTCTCTCTCTCTCTCTCTCTCTCTATATATATATATATATATATATATATATATATATATATATATATATATATATATATATATATATAAAAAAAATAGGTTTTCACACAAAACTTTATTCTGATGTTTGACTGTTTAATCAAATTTTGGAATAAATCAGAGGCACTTTTCACTGATATATATATATATATATATATATATATATATATATAGAGAGAGAGAGAGAGAGAGAGAGATAGATAGATAGATAGATAGATAGATAGATAGATAGATAGATAGATAGGAAAAAGTTCTTTTTAGAAACGATGCGTGTTAGGTTCGGCTTTGAAGAATAATGTGTTGGGATTTTTTAAAAGAGGGGCAATAAATTAAATACCTTTTCAAATTCGACGATAAGAGACAAGAAAGTATGTATTTGCGATTATCGGTGATATTATGTATGGTCATGGTCTTAGGTTTATAATCGGGAATTGTGAAATTAGCACACTCTCAATGGCATTTCTTCTTAGTAACTCCTTTTCCCTCTTGATCAGACTGACATTTATTAAGTCGAAATTGTGATCAGATGCATTACAGAGAATCACCAGTACATTTAAAGTGTTGTTATACAGTATTTCTCTCTCTCTTTCTCTCTCTCTTTCTCTCTCTCTCTCTCTCTCTCTCTCTCTCTCTCTCTCTCTCTCTCTCTGCGATGCTTATATAGAGATGAGCTGCATAACAATACTTTAAACGGCAGGCGAATTTGAGACTCACAAGGCATATCAAGAGCAGGAGGGACAAATGAAGGCAAGCGGGGCCACCTACCTGAAGACTTTGTGTTATTGGATGGTAGAACGGGTGCATTTTTGGCAAAAGGACAAATGTTGCTAAACACAAGATAGGAGGTTGTTGTAAGCCTTGATCGTTCACGTCTTGAAAGAACACGGCACTTAGAAGAAGAAGGTTTTAAGACAAGCAGTTTTTGCTCGATATGACGAGGTAAAGAATTAATAGTAATAAATAAATAAAGAGCAAAAGACATTTATTTTTTTATCTATTAGTGTATATATATATACATATATATATATATATATATATATATATATATATGTGTGTGTGTGTGTGTGTGTGTGTGTGTGTGTGTGTGTAGGGTATATAATAGTATCCAAAACAAAATTGATGAGACAAAGTGGAAAAGTAATAAACAACGCGTTTTAACGATGTCTATTCGTTTCGGCTTCTACAGGTCTGAATGAAAGACAAAACTGCGTGTAAAAAAACGCACTGGGATTTTTTAGGATAAGAGGGACCATATATATATATATATATATATATATATATATATATATATATGTGTGTGTGTGTGTGTGTGTGTGTGTGTGTGAGGAAAGTAATATTATATCTCCGCAGTATCTTGTCAGTCTTTTTTTAATGAAACTTGTATAAAATTGGGGTTGCTGCCCAAATACACAATTATACATATAGATGTGTGTAGTGCTGACCTTTATTCTAATTTTCTGGTCTTTTTCCTTTTGTTCTCGTCTCTCCATTTCATTCACTCTTCATCTTCTCAGCATCTTTTCTCTCTCTCATGACACCCATTTCTATATTCTACTGTCTCCATCTCTTTTATCTACATTACCTGCCCCACATTCTTTTGCCCCGTTTCAGTAAATTATAACTAGTTATTTACTCCCACTTCTTTTCGTCGTTGCCAATTACCCGTACTCTTCACCAATCTTACCACTGCTTTCCCTTCATCTATAACTTTCTTTACGCCCCTCCTCATTGTCACTCGTACTTTCTCTAATGCACACTCGTCGCTGCTCGTGAGATTCCATCAATTCCTCTCTCTTTACCAACACATGTCCCTTTCTATGTTCACCTTTCTGACCTTTCTACAATTCTTAATATCCCTAAGCTTCAGTTTTATTAAAAATCAAACCATTGTTTGTTTCATAAATATCATCTGTACTCCTCTGCTAACAAATGTAATCTGCGGACGGGCCTGTTGCCAGTGGAGCCTTCATTCTTTACTTCTACCTGTACATTATTTATATCTGACAGCCATGTCTCTATAAATAGAATCGTTATTAAGTTTCATCGTCAGATGACTGACAAATGTTCACTATGTTCCCAATCTGGTATCTGAAAGCCAAAGAGACACTGCGGTTTTAATATCCTCCATGTTGGCTTTGACTGATGGCTGAAAGGTTGCTGCATTTAAATTAAGACAAGTCAATGGCAGTTTTACATCGGCTACGTTTAGGTAGATAAATGTAAGTATAATCACCACGTACTGAAATATATGCTTCAGACATCAAATCGGTTAACCCGTGTAGATGAGGATGACACATTTGCATCAAGAGGTGAAATAAAACTGAAATGATATATGCAAGATGTGAGAGAAGGAGGGTATTTTTTTTTTATTTATGTTCTATTCTTTAAATAATTCCAATAACTACATTCATTTAGTTACACAATTTCAGATTCAAGTTCAAAGTAAGTGATACCTGAATTGCTAGAAAAAAAAAAGAAAAAAAAAGAAAAGCTGTACGTAAAAGTATTCGGGTTGACTACAAAGCTTAAAAAAATTATATAATATTTGGTAATTGGGTCAGAGTTTGTGAAATGGAAACTTTTCAGCAGCCCTCGTATGACTTTGTATCTTCTTGGCGCCAGTATCTAAAATATCAGTTTTTGTTCAATGTGAAATGACAATGGAATTAAAACAATATATTTAAAAAATAATTTGAAAACAATTATCGTTCCATTTTCATCAGAAGTCATGATTCATTTCGTTATTATTGTACGTAAACAATTATGAACAAGCCTTATAACAATGCAGCTTCTGCTTTTCTCCCAATCCACATAGAATTCATTTATCCATTATTTTACCATACAATTCGCGGAGAAAAACGTCGAAAAGCAATCATAAAAGAAATTTCAAGGTTTACTGGAAGTTCCTGAATTGTTTTAAGGTTAACTTCCACAATTTCTCTGAAAGTAGTTATTGGTTCTTCCTTGGAGCTCATTTCGAATATTTTCATCTTTATAATGAAATTTTTGAATCTGCTTTTGTATTGCTGGTTCATTGGCATTTCCTTCTCTAAATGTCAGATTCACTTTTCTGATCTGGTTCTACCAATTTAAATTCATGCAAAAAATATTTGTGCCTGTTCTGGTGACAAGGTTTTCAAAGTTTATGACGAGAGATACATTTGAAAAATGAAGTTGAATACCCAAATCCACTCGAATAAATAATACAACACACTCCTACTTAGATCCTGATTACAGGAAATTTCGTTAGTTTTTCTTGCTGCAGCCGATTATAAAGTTTTCTTTAGCAGTTTTTCTTTAAGTATCATCAGATGGCATAACTTCCAACCTCTAAAAAAATAACAAATGATAATTAGAAATTGTAAGAAGTGAATCATTGACAAGATGTCTTCTAATTTCGCGTTTGTTTGTTTTTTTTACTCCAATTGCCGGTACACAAATACTCAGCTAGTAAATATGCGGAAAAATTAAAGCTTTTTCGTTTATTTTCACATGAGAAATTTCTCTTGTCTCTTTAAATCACTTCTTCTTTTTCACCAGACTGACGGGCCAGCTTGCGAGGTGAACTGATGGTGTTTTTTTTTTTTTATCAGTGGCATTCTTGGTCAATGGTCTAACGCAGATGGAAATTTGGATATTTTGAATATTGATTTTTGTGCAAAACATACTCTTCCTACTTAAATGATTGGTGCATCACAATCTTCCTAAGTTCCATTTATCACATTGCATTTGTTTTACACACCCACACATCATATATATATATATATATATATATATATATATATAACAATGAAATTAACGTAAAACGGCCTAAGGATCAAAAGCTTTATTTTAAAATGTGTCCCTTGAAAAGAATCGAAACTGTAATCACATTTTTTTTAAATATAGGAAATAGCATTCAAGCCAATCCTACTTCAGCAGTAAGCTAAGAGAAGTCATCACAACAAAGAAGGGTTCAGTTATCCTATTCAAGAAATTCAAATTGATCTCTAGGCCGGTGTCCATTAATTTTGCTGTTTTAAAAAAAGAATATCTATTTAAACATGTGTACCCTCCATATAGTTATAATTATTATAGTCTAAAAATTTTAACTTACATGTTTATGGCAACATGGCGTTTGTTCCTTTTTAATGGTACTCAGTATAGCACATGTTACTATAACAACGGAAATTTGTAATTTTATATTGTTATTTTTTAATTCAGTTCCCATGGTAACATAACATTGGCTCGGTTCGAGGGGCGCCAAACATGTTTTAACATTTTGTAGTAATGAGGCTACGTTGTTAAATATTACCAGGCGGTCGAGTTTGCTATTACGAACAGAAAAATAGAGGAGCATGAAAAATCCCTATGATCATTATATCAATATAAACATATTGAACCTAACTGGTGGCAGAAGGAGTTGAATATTTTTCATTTGCACCAATAGTCGATGTTCGAACCGATTTAACTTCAAATTTCAAAGTAAACAGATTTTCTTCACTTGTAAGACTGATGCTACACAATCTTCATACTCGCTATTTCTTTCCGTCTGAAACAAAGTTAAGCATAGTAATTATTTCCATTCCCAAAGCTAAATAAATTTTCTTTAGTAATGGAAGGTTCTGATCTTTCTATGCTTCTATCTCTGCCTATAGCAAGGTTAGCTAAATCTGAAGGTAGAATTAGCGAACTGAGTTCCAACTTTCGTCTCGGCCACTGATGTTATTTTCATAACATTTTTGCAGAAGCCTGACATCAGTTTTCTTACGAATTCTAAGTTTCGGATAAATGTTGCGAAATATTTCTTTTGTTACCAAATCAGTTTTAATTACTCTTAAAGGAAAGAGTTAAAAGATTCCTTGATGCTTGCAGTTACTCTTGGAACTCTTGGAAAGGTTTCACGCTGTAAAGAGAAATAAACGCTCCTTTTAAAAAGCACACGTCCAGGAATATCTCTGTCATAATTATTCCCAAAGAGAACCGAAGTCAACGGCTTATGCCTTAAATTCTAGACATTTTTCTCGGATCGAAGTGCTATAAATTTCCAATTCCTGAATTTGCGCAGATTCGTTCATAATTTTTTTGCATTACCAGCTTTATAATAAAAAACAAATTTGAATTCATATTTATTCGTTATATATCAGTGTTTAAAGTGTTTATATTGAATTGTGGAAATTTCTTTTTGGCGGTGATAATCGAAAAATGGTCTGAAAAAAAATGCTTAAACAGAAAATATAAGTGTAAGAGAAAATATTGAATAAGCAAAGTTAT